AGACCTTCACCAAGGAAAAGTGTGAAGGATCTTTTGTAAATGATTTATCCAGGAGTGATATCTTTATAATTTCATGTTTGAGATTTTTGGGGGCTTTTTGCATCTGATCTTCAGTGTTGTTTCAATTCTAGAAATTTTAAAAAGAAATAACTGAAGAATTACAAAATTAATGTTGAAAATTTTATTGCTAAGTATGTAAATACTGTAAATATGTAAGCATGTAAATATATGATATTTATTGTTTGTTGAATTGCTCTCTCTCTCTTTTTTGTTTTTTTGTTTTTACACTCCTGTTCCCAATCCAGATATTTCTTGTGTACCTCTTCAAATTCTTTCAGCCATACCTTTGATTCCAGCCAAGCTGCACCAGTCATAGCACACAGGTTTCAATTAACTTCACACAGCTGCAGATTGACTGCACCCTTCACTTCCTACCAGGGGATTCTCACACTTGTTCAGCCCTAGACTACAATATAGTTAATGTCCCTAAGGGACACCTGGAATTTTTGACCAGGAGAAACTGGGAGCCAATGAACAATGCTTCAGTCTGAGAATCCTTTGGTAAGACTTAGCCAATAGTCCTAACAAATTGCACCTGAGTCCTCTCTGCTGCTGCTAAACTCGACAGCCATCTTTGCGCTGGCTTTCCCACTTTTCCATGTCTCTCCTTCATGCTTCAGTTGACATACTCCCAGATAAACTACTTGCTTATAAACCTTTGACCCAGGCTTTTTATAGACAAATACACTCCTATATAAAACAATGGCTACTTTGCTGAAGGTAAGTGCACCAAGAAATAAACTAAGTCAAAAATGTTTTAAAACCACGCTTGGTAAGTTGGTATATTAATCAGAGTTCTTCAGAGAAATAGAACAAATAGGATATATTTATATATAAAATGAGGAATTGATTCATATGATTATGGAGACTGAGATGTCGCATCATCTGCCATCTGGAAGCTAGAAACTCAGGAAAGGCAGAGGTGTGATTTAGAGTCTGAAGACCTGAGAACCAGAGAGAACAATGACATAAATCACCATCCCAGGGGAAGAGACATTGAGGGATGTCCATGCTCAGCCAGTGAGGCAGGGGAACAAAAAAAAAAAAAAGGAATAAATTCTTCTTCCTCCACCTTTTGTTCTACTCAGACTCTCAGTGGAGAGGATAATGCCCAAACACATTGGGTGGGGGACAGGGTGGGACTGGCAATCTTGACCACCTGTTCAAATTTAATCTACCCAGAAACACCATCACAGACACACCCAGAAATAGTGTTTTAATTTGAGCACCCCAAGAATCTACTCAGGACTTAGCATAGAACCAAACCATCACAGCCAAGAAGTTGATGAGGGGTTAAGCCTTCCAAAGTCCTTTTGCTATATAAGCAATGATTATTCACATTGTAAAATGTGAATAATTATAGACTTAGGTGTGCATGTTACAATATTCATGAAATGACTAAAGGAGAGTTATAAAGAATACAATTTCCAAAGAAGGTAGAGAGGGGATTGGAGAAAAAGGGTGATGGAATCTCATCCATTACTAAATGGGGCAAAAAGGAATAGGAAAAAAAGTAACAGAAAAAGTGGCACAAAGAGAAAGACACAAAATAAGGAAGTTGAAAAAATTCAAATACATCAATATAAATAACCAAAACTCCTCAAATAAAAGAAAAACATGATCATTCTGGATTAAAACAAAATCCAGTGATATTCTATTTTCAAGAGACACCACTAAATATAAAGGTATAAAAAGTGAACAGACAATAAGAGAAATAAAAAAATCAAATAGGGATGGCTTAATGTCCCCAGGGTCACATGTCTCCACCTGCCATTCTCCTAATCCTTTCTAGCAATTGTTGTCCACTGTGGCCTTCCAGCAACTGAGGGTGGGTCACTGTCTTAATCATTTTTATGTATCTACCATCCAGCATAGAAAATATGGCTTTCCAGTAACTGAAGACAAGTCACTAACTTTACTCATCTTTATGTATCCAGCATAATAACAAAGCAATATCCACTGAATTCATGAAATCAAAATTGTACAAGCATGCAATTCATCAGAAACATATTGAGCATCCTCAAAGAGAGCAACAGTTTCATATAATCTATGATGATTGATTTGTTCTGATATTTGTATCATAATAGATAAGCTTCATTTCTCCCTGGAGAATAAAATCAATGCATAGCTCAACCCAGGAAACATCTGCATGTGTGGCCATTTGTAAGGTGACAAGCATATCCATGAAGGCTGCCTCTCATTCATTCATTCATTTTACCTTTATTTATTCACCTAATCTGTGCTAGACACTGTCTGAAGGATAAAAATGATAAATAAGATGAACACAATCCCTGCCATTTTGGAGATTGCAGACTTGTTATATGGCAAGTCTCTAAGCCAAAGTATTTTAATACATGAGTCACAATTGAAATTGTATTTTCTTTTGATTATATGACTTTCAGGAAATTCCTTCACCACAAAGTAAAAATTCAGCTCGTCTTAACTTTATTAACTGAACAACCTTGGGCATAAAATTCAGTTGGTTAGATCATTTGCTACACTGAAGTTCAACTTTCTTATCTAAAAATTTGAAAATAATCCTTACCTTTCATTGTGACAATGACCTAGGATAGTGTACCAGACATGGGGATGTCCAAATAAATGTCAATTCTCTTTAGAACCAAACTGTTACTACCATGCTCCAAGTTAATATGTACCATATCCCATTTGTAAATATTAAGTTTTATTCATTCCAGGCATCAGGTTTCAGAAAAAGAAGGCTGACTAGATGTAGCAAGATTGTTATTTATTAAAAACAGACTTATTGAGGTCCAAACAGGAATGTAATGTATGCATATTTATTCATACTTCATATCTATTACATAGATGTTGGACTAGCAACTATGCTTTGAATAATCTACTGGCATTTATTTGTAATAATGATCCTATTCAATTCTGTATATTTAACTCATATAATTTTGATATTGCCCTCCATCCTCCAGGAAAGTACATGATCTAGTGAAAACTTACAAAGCATTGTGTTGACCATTATCTCTAAGTTCACTCTTTCCATAGGCAGATGGAGAACTGTATTATTGGATATGCTGCATGAAGCTAAAGACTTTGAAATTAATTGGTTGTCACAGGATATGAATATACCTAATGGGTTATTAAAAAATGATTAATATATGTCCCAGTGGGACAGCAAAGAGAAGGGTCATGATTGGGCATAAAAATGAAGAATTAATTTGACCTATCATGGCAACAAAAGGGTTAGTCCAAGTTACTGAGTAATGACTATGTGAAGAAGCTATGAATGTTGACCAGGTTTACTAGCTTCTGAAAAACAATATTTAAAAAAAACAGTATACTAAAATGAACTTTGTGTTTGGTCTTGCTGCAGCAGCTCAATCTTTCAATGTTAAGTGGTATTTTGCCTTTGATTCACCATGTCAGTATGCTGCAAGTCAATTGCGTGAGAGGAGCATTAAACAGTGCCTTTGGGGAAAATACTGAACTCCTAAGGATGTTGGGATGAAAGATGCTTTGTAAATGCAAGAATTTATTATTAATTATTGTTATTCAGAACTCTTATTTTCCAATATTTCCCATTTTGGATGAACAATAGAAAGCGCCATTTCTGCCTTCCAAAACACAAACTAAAGATGCTTGAAATATTACAAAGCTTTGTCCCTTTACTATTCTGTATTCAGGGCCACATGTGAATAGATTATTTCTTTCTTCTCAGCAGCTATAAGATGAGCCATTAAATCTCTGAAATAGTTTGGATGTTTTAGTTGTTGAATGAAACATTTTAAAAATTCAGATTCTTTTTTTCTTAATTGTTTCCTTTAAAATATTGCCTCTCTAGCTTCATCTTGTGTATTACTGATTATTTCTCCTTAATGTTATTATGTTCTAATACTATTAAATAATGAACACGTCCAAAAGACATACACAATAAAATAAGTTATAGAAGGGGTCCCCACAAAAAAAAAAACTGATTGTGGTATTTGTAAAATTTAAAATATACTAATTAAATTTCTTTGAAATAAATGACTGAAGATGGTTAAATACATTAGTTCTTAACTGACCAGTTTTAGGAAATGGGAAAACCAATCTGAGCAGCTTTAAATGCTGTAGACAAGTAACTAAATCTCTCAGAGACTATTCAATTAGACAAACACAGAGTCATGAGAAAGGTCTTCTGTGGTGGGTGGGGAGGATGGATAACTGAGGAAATTTCTAGAAAATTACCTGGTTGATTAGTACTTGTAATGTCTTTGGTTATTTCAGTCTTGTTGCACAAGCACAAATTTACAGGTTTATGTATTCACAGGGGGAGGAGTACTATGTTTAGTGCTCAGAGGAATATTTGCCTGAAATTTCAAGTTCAGAAAAACCATTCTAAATCACGGGATGCAATAACAGGTGTGGGGAGTTAGGAGAGAGGTCACAGGATGAATTAGGTTGATGGCCAAAAGTCATGGTTTTAGATGGGAGCATGAGAAAGTTCTGAAATGTCTTTCTCACACAAAGATGGAAAATATTAAAAAAAAAAAAACAGTAAAATAAGTAACAGAAAAAGTAAATAAAATCAGTCTTCCAGTAAAATTGGTCTGAGAATGGAGTTAAAAAGCATTGTGGTTTGGGGAAGCATGGAACAACTTGACCTTCTTATGAAATTGTGTCTCACCTGTGTGCACATCCAGGCCCTGGATGTATTAATAGAATCAGTGTATGCCCATAAAGATGAAATATAGTGTAGCATTTCTCTTTTCAGGCTCTAAACGCTCTCAAAGTGGGACAGAGAACAATTCTGTATCCTTGCCACATCAGCTGCTCTGTGACATGTTCTGGATCCTGCTCCCACATGATATCTGGGGCAGCCTGGGGGGATATCATCTGGGTCCTTTGACTTACCCTGTGTATTGGCAGGTGATGGGCAGAAAGGTTGAGGGTGAAGTGTCCTGATTAGGATGCTCTGAATGTAACCCTAGATTGGACAAAGCCACTGACAGATTGGCTCGGCCTGGCACCAGGCTGCAGAGATCCTTACCGGAAGCAGCTGCAGCACTCTCTTCAAATATCCTGACTGCCAACCTCCGAGGAGACTCCCAGGAGCCTGACCAAGTGAGCCAGGCATTAGAGAGAGAGCACAGAAATAAGCTGTGGCCTCTGGACTTGAAGGTAACCCACTGAATAGCAATGTGCTCGATTCTGGGGCTGGGTGGCAGAGAGATGCAGAAGGAGTTCTTTTTTCACTTTGCATTTTGTTGTGTACATGAATCTAAAGATAAAGAATGGTGGGCTGCAGACTGGAGTAACAAATTGCCCATAAAATATATTCATAATCATCTGATGACCAAAAATGGGAATCCAGCCACCAATCACATTAAATTCATGTGGTCTTGGCAAGGATTGTTAAATTAACCTTGAAAACAACAATAATCCCTTGGTAACTCACCAGCAAGATTTTTGCATTCCATGTCTGTCACCATCTCTATTGTCGCCTCTATTGCCTCTCTACCTACTTCTTCTCTGCCTGTCTTTATCGGTCACTTCACCTTACCTGGCCTCTTTCTCTTTATTAGTGTATTCCTCCAGAATTCTGCACCAATCCTGGAAGATGTGTAGGTGTCTGTATCATTGGCATAATGGCTTCATTTGCTAGATGGATGACAGTAGGTTCTTGACCAAATTAGAGCACATTCTCAGAATTACAACTATTCCTAGCAATAAATTGAGTCTCAAACATCATTTCCTTTTTTTCTCCCTCTCTCGAGAAATCAAGGAAAATAAACAATCAATTAGAATGAATTTTTGTGTCAAAAAATAAAGATGTTGACCAACCAATCAATCGCACAGTCTTTCTTTCAAGCAATATTTCTTCATGCCAAATTTTCTTTTGCTTTCTTTGGAAAGGTGAAAGTTAGCAAACTGCCAAGTGCAGATATTGTTTTCTACTCAGGGGAAAGCACTTCCTTGGAATTCATGCCATATTTTAAAATAATAATAAATTTTTTTTTAGTTACCTCCTAAACTTTATGAACGAACCCTTTATGTATCTAATTCTGTGATTTCTTAAAAACAGATTTGTAATTAACTATGTTATGCCCCTTAAATAATTTAAAATCCTAAAGATGCAATTCTCAGCCAAGTCTTAGCATATACGTTGGTCTACCTGGCATACATTAGATTGCATTTTTTTTTTTACATATTCATTCACAGATACATTTTTTAGTATTTTGATATTTTCTGTACTGGTTTGAAAGGGCTATTTATTATCACAGAGTCATCTTACCAGTAAATATTTATAGGTAGCTTTTATTTCCAGTTCAGGAGTTGAGCATTGCATCTCATAGTACCTCAAAAAGCATTGTTGATTTGCTATTTTAGCTTTTGATAGAGAGTGTGTTTATGGCATGGCTGTGGGAGGTTTCTTCTTTAATAATTTACAAAATTACCTGCAGTAAAATCTTCACCTGTTCTTTGTTTTCTTAGCACCACAAAATTGGAATTACATATAAAATCTTTCCTCCAGGAGATTTATGTCTACCACAGAAAGAAAATCTCCACTTAAATTTTTATGAAACATCAAAATTACGGTCTGCTTTAGCAAAACAATACAAAGGAGCCTTCGTTGGGCAAGGAGTATTTCCAATATTTGAAGACATCATTCTTTATCTCCCATTTAATCTTTATTTTCCTGTGGCAGCTTCTTTCCCAGTTTCATTGATTCCCCTGTGTGTGTGTGCAGTGTGCTAATTTGTCTTTCATTACAGAAAGTTCCAAGTGCCAACCACAGGGGCTAACCCCAGCCAGAAGACAAGCCTTTCAGATGGCCCTGCTTTTCACAGTTTAATTTGAAGTTGTCACATGAAAGGACTGAGGTCCAGTTTCTTTCTTTTTCCCAGAACTGACCACTCCATTCTTGAAGAGGGCAGTGAACAGGCAACCTGGTGGCCCCAATTTAGCTGCACATAGAAGTGGAGAAGTCCTTCACTGTGATTCGGATTTAAAACGCTCTTTATTGAATTATGTTTTAATAAAGGGTTTATATAACATCCACAGAGCAGTTATCAATTAATTACCCATGGAAATTTAGGGGATGTTACACAGTGGTAGTTATCATACCCAGGGCATTAGACATATGTTACATAAAAGGTGCAGTCACCTTGAAATTATATTGGCAAGCCTGCCTTTTTCCTATGGAATATTATACATTCTAATGTAAAAATGAAGTTAAAAACCTATTAGGCGATGGGACTGGCATGTTCCAAATGGTTTAAAGCAGGCTTATACACATTTTCCGAACGCTCTGTGGGAAATCTTAGGAAATTGTGCTCACTGGTTGAGAAATTTCTTAAGTTCTTTGGGCACTCCTACCTTCCATGGGTTTGGGGATTTGTATTTAGAGAACAAATAGACAGCTCATTTAGAACCCTGACCTCAACGGATTCACCCCATGGATCCAGAGCCACCTGCAGATCCAGTGTCAGCCTCGGGGAGGCGATGTGCCTCTCTCCAGGCAAGAGTAGCTCTCGGCACTAAGAGCTTCACTTCTTGCACCAGCTTGGTCGGCTTTAGCAAAATAATACAAAGGAGGCTTCATTGGGTGAGGAGTATTTCCAATATTTGAAGACATTCTTAGATTAGCTGATGCAGAGGCCAGAAAGGGCACAGGTGGAGTGAACGACACAAAAGACAGGTGGGTAGAAACAGAGAAGGGAAGAAGGATTTCCAGGACCCAGACAGTAGTGGCAAACATGGGGAATGGCTGGTTGCAGGCAAGGTGACAGAGAAGAGACCCAGGCTGTTCTCACGATCGATCGTGAGAGGGGTCAACAGATTTTAGAAGATTATCCCACTCTGTTCCTGCCCCCAGGACGGCTGAAACTCCCAGCCTCTGAACAACTGTGTCATGTTTGTGATGAAAGCTTAGCAGGCATTTGGAAGCTTTGCTGTTTATGCTGTTTTAAAAGTTATCAAGAATAAAAATTACCTCCCTGCCAGGCTAAAGAAATGAAGGAGTTACATTAACTACATTTGAAGCTTATATTCTAAAATATAAGAAAATCAAGTCATTACTTTGGGGCATTGTACTGCATTGATTTTTTTTAGAAAATTACCTCCTCAGTTATAGTTTAATTTAAAAATACCAGAAACCTGTTTCCATTTAACTACTCACTAAATAAATCTGAATGCTATCTAAGTCAAAAATTTACCCCCACGCCTTGCTACCATATAAACAAAAAGAATCCACCCCCTTCATTCAGACTTCATCTCTGATATATCTGTCCCTAGAGAGTCATTACTGGACAAATGTGAACAAAGGACCCAGCCTCTGTCTTCAGGGAGTAAAAGGAGGAAGAAATGAAAGGAGTAAACACAACCCAGGCTGATAAGTGATCTACCAGGGACCTACAGGAGTGCTGTGAATCTACACGTCTGAGTGCCTGATTCTTCAAGCAGAATAAATCTGGGCAAGGAAGTGGGCTGAGCACTGATGAGTTGACAATTCAGAGGCAGAAATAAATAGGGGTATGCTGTTCCATAGAGGAGATACACAAATCACATAGTAAGCCCCCAGGGTCCTTTCTCCTGTCCTAAAACTGATTATAAAAGGCACCTGCAGCAACAGTTGGGTTGGCCTCTGTTTCATGCAACCAAGGATGGATAGGGAACAGAGGGGGGTCCTGACTTTCTAGCCTGAGAACCAAACGTTTCTTGAAAAAAAATCCACCAACTCTAACTTGAGAGTGAATATTAAAGGTGCTGGAGAACCAGAAATGCCATAGATTTTGTATGAGAAACTTTCCATCCAAGGCCTAATTTTCCCTGTTGGAGTTTTGGTCACTCACTGCTGTCAAAAATAGCTTGAATGAAAAATTCAACTAGGTACTTAGGATTAGTTTCTAAATGAACTACAATTGACATATTAAATATGAAAGCTCACACTTGAGAACGAAATAGATCTGCTGAATAAAGATTATTCTGAAGGTAAAGACACTACATTTGGGTTAAATACAGTTGGATTAGCTGTCACATGACAATAGTCTGTAATATTCAACAGTGCCGTCATATACCTAAGAGGCTTGAAAAAATATCTGAGAGTTAGAAAGACAGGTACACGTTTATGGTCATTTTACCACACAGACTTTTGATTTATCCACAGCTGCCTGGATTACCAATGGCAAAATTGCCCAAGTGTCCAGATTCCTAATACATGAGCCTGGTATTAGGGTTCTTCAGTGAGACAGTACCAACAGGTCAGATGGTTAGTTAGATAGACAGATGGTAGGGGACTTATTAGGGCAATGGGCAGATGTGATTGTGGAGTCCAAAGTGTCCCACCACAGGCCTTCTGCAAATTGGTGACTCTGAGATGTGGAGTCCAAGTCCAAAGGCCTAAGAACCAAGAAAGCCAACAGTGTGAGTCCCACTCTGAGACAAAAGGCCTGAAAAGCCAGGGGTACCTTGGTGCAAATCCTGAAGTCCAAAGTCGGGAGACCCTGAAGCCCTGATGCCTGAAGGTAAAAGATATCCCAGCTGCAGGAGAGAAAGACTGCACCTTTCTGTGCCCTTTTGTTCAAACCAGTCCCCCAGTAAATTGGAAGGTGCCCACCCACACTGAAGGAAGATGTTCCCCACTCAGTCCACAACTCACATGCTAATCTCTCCCAGAAACACCCTCACAGACACACCCACAAGTAATGCTTTACCAGCTCTCTAAGCTTAATCCAGTCATGCACCTGCAATGAACCATCACAAGCCTCCATTCTGAAGTACCTACATCAACCAAAAAATGGTAACAAACTTTTCCGAATGCAAATTTTAAAATAAGATTTTTGAACTCTCTTTTAAAATTTTCCTTTCATACTATGTGAAAATGAGAAGTACCCACTAATTGAACCTACCTCTCCTCTTGTACATATAGGATTTTTCATTTTCTTGCCAGTTGCAGATCATGGAATGACTTAAAGTTGACAAGAGCTTAATTCAGAGCTGGCAAAATTCTGAGGCTGGCCTGGAGAGCAGCTGACAAGTTCTTGTCTATGACATTTAACAAAGATTTGGAAGACGGAAAGAAATCAATGCTTATGTTAAAATGTAAAATCATCATCATCATCATCATCATCATCATCATCATCATGTAAAATTAGAGGAAGTCAGAAAAGAAGCATAGTTCAAGTCAAGTTTGGACTACAAAGTAATCTACATAGTTCCTGGAAGCATTAGTTCTTCATTTTCATTCATGTTGTTCTTTGAGTTTATTGAATGATTGTTAAGTTTGTACTTATTTTTGATTCATACATTTATGGTTGATATTAATTATAAATTTTATCACTTTATTTATAAATATATATTTTATTTTGCTTATTATTTTGTAGGTTTTTGTTTGCTGAGGTGGTGGCAGTTTTTTTTGTTTATTTGTTTGTTTCCAGGGGGTGTTTGTTTTGTTTTAGGTGTGTCTGTGTGTATGTATGTGGTACTGAGGATTGAACCAAAAGTCTTGCCCATGCTAGGCAAGCACTCTACCACTGTGATACATCTCCAGCTTTTTTTTTTTTTTTTTTTTTGAGACAGGGTCTTACTAAGTTATTGAGGCTGGCCTGAACTTGCAATCCTCCTGGCTCAGCCCCTGAGTAGCTGGGATGACAGGTGTGCTCCACTACACTGGGTACAGCTCTTTATTTTTAACAAATTTTACATATTACTTTTGGTTCCATGGTTAAAGTATAAATATATTAACAATTTGCAAATAGACTCCTGTTCCATATTTAGAATATATGTTTAGGAAATAAAATCAGACTAAGATATTACACAGGTAACAGCTTGTAAAGAACTAATTAATAACAGATTCCTACTTATTAAAGGTTTTGACTTTGGATAATTCATTTTGTTCTTTATGTTGATTCAGACTGTAATCTGAATAGTTAGTTGTTCGGACTGAAAGGGTAACTGCCACTAGAAATCTGTGAATTAATATATTTTATAGTGTTAAGGAAGTTGTTTAGAAATCCCTTGCCTTGCACGTTTATATGGTCACTGTATTACTTCTTAGATTACTATACAAATTAGCACAAATTTAGTGGCTTGAAAGAGCAGAAATGTATTCTCTTACATTTCCAGAGGGCAGATGTCTGAAGTTAAGATACCAGCTTCCTGGGAGGATCCTGTCTTGCTCTCCCATCCTCTGGTGGCTCCGATCATTCCTTGGCTTGTGGCTGCATCACTGCAATCTTTGTCTTTGTTTTCACAAAACCTTCCCTTCTCTGAGCAGCTCTCCTCTGTGTCTCTTGTAGGACACTTGTCATTGGATTTAGGGTCCACTTGGCTAATCCCATATGATCTCATTTCAAGATCTTTGATTTCCTTGCATTTGCAAAAGAGACCCTTTTCCCAAATAACATCAAGATGTTCCTGTCACCTTCAATGCTTTCACCCACTCAGATGTCACTATTGCCTGGCTAGTTTGTACTACTAGTGTAGAGTAGGGTCTCGAAGAAGCTTGAGTCCTTGATCTCATTGCAAAGTCCCAGTCACATGGACCCTGTGAGTGTGAAGGAGAAGTTCTGGGAGAAGCTTCTGTTTGTCTCAGTCTTGTTGAAGAAGACTGAATGTCCAACTGTGTATATCCTGGAACACCATTACTACTGCTTTCTTCTTTTGGCACAAATTTTACCTAGAAGTTTATCAACCAACTGCATGTGTCGATTGTATGAGAAATTCAACAGCAGCTATTGAAGTCATGTCCTCCAACTTTTTCCTATTGGGTTGGATCAACAGGTTTTCATTTGGGATATCTGTTCATTTTTTCATATGTCTGGGCCTCCCTCAGAAATTGGGAAGACCCACTTTTCAGAGACATTTTCCAAAGTCGTCCATTATGGCCTCTTTTTCAAAGAAAGCAACTGCCTTGGAAAAAAAACCTACTTGTTGAACCTATTTGTTCAAATTTTAGATTTTTTTTATGAGTCTGAAATAGATAAAAGTTGGAGTTCAACATTTTTCACTTGTGGGGTTGAGCACTGGAAGACTTTACTGTTTTTTCTTTTATATTTCAGGACACTTTTGAAGACAGCATTCATCTTTTAAGAACTGATGTGTAAGATAGAGACCAGGTAAGGAAGTCCCTGTCTGCCCAGGCCATAGTGACCACAATTTTACTTTTCATCTCTCTACCTGATACCTTAGTCAATCCTAGCCGAAGCTGGCAGATCAGTGAAATTCCCAATTTAATCATGTTGATATTAACCAAGTTTCTATATCCTCTTATTTTAAATAAGAGCGTAACAAGTGCTGACTTAAAAGACAGCAGAAGTTCAATTTGGGGATGCTTCTGAAATCCGTGTAATGTATCTCTTCCTTTGGCTCTGATTTCTATCTTTTTGCTGTGATGGAATCATAATCATAGCCCCACAAGTTATTCCAGTGACTTACCAATTCCAGGAGATAAAGGAGAACCCCTGAAATTGTAACCACCTTGTTAGAAGCAAGGATGACCTGTGAATTCTGAAGTTTGTGGTTGAAGTAATTGTGATATATTAGCCAGCTTTTCATTCCTTTGACCAGAATATCTGAGAAAGCAACTTAAAGAAGAAAATTTTTATTTTGGATCATGATTTCAAAGGTTTCAGTCCATAGTTGGCTACCTTCATTGCTCTGGGCCCACATAAGGCAGAAAATCATGGCAGAAGAGTGTGATAGAAGACAGTTGCTCAGCTCATGATAGCCAATAAGCAGAGAGAGAAAAAAGGGGCTTGGGATAAGAATACCTTTCCAGGGCATGCCCCTAGGGGTTTACTTTCACCATGTCCTACCATTTTTACCACTTCCCAATAAAGTCATCAGCTATGAATCCATCAATGGATTAACCACTGATGAGGTCAGAACCTTTCTGATCGAATTACTTCCCCAAATTCCCACCTCTGAATATCACTGCATTGGGAACTAAGTCTTTAACACAGGAGTCTTTGGGAGATGCTTCATATCCAAACCAAACAGGTGGTCTTGTGGTAGGTAGGTGGACAGTACTCCTAACCTGGCAGCTTGGCCCACATCCACATGGTTAGTGTTAAAAGCCATGGCAACCCAGAATTCACTTCTGGTTTCCAGATATATTATATTGTATTAGTTTCATATTGCTGCCGTCACAAATTACTATAAACTATGTGGCTAAAACTAACAGAAATTTATTATTTCATGGTTTTGGAAGGTAGAAATCTAAGATGGTAAAGTATGGCCTACTTTCTGGTGCCTCCAGGGAAGAATGTGTTTCCTTGTCGGTTTTAGCTTCTAGAGTCAGCCCTCATTTCTTGGCTAAAAAGCATCACATACTGTCATCACGTCTCCTTCAATTTTTGTGCTTTTGTTGACTATCACAATCTCCAACCAGGTCCTTTCTGCTCCCTTCCTGTGAGGACCTAGGAATTGCCTTCAGCCTGACTGAATAATTTTCCCATCTCAACACTCTTACTTTAATCCCATCTGCAGTCTCTTTTGCCACACAAATTAACGTATTCAAGAGTTTGGGGGATTTGGGCATGAGCACATTTGGGGGACCATTACTCTGCCTACCACATAGGGCCTTTGCCAGTGGAAGTAGACTCCAAAGGAGTAGCATTTACTAGGTTTTTGCTCAAAGCCAAATTTGTATTTTTTTAATCCTTTCAAAAGGCACAAGTATATTTCACTAAATGTAATTGGTTTCTGTCTACATAGGCCTTTCTTGTTAAAATTTAATTATTACTACCCTTAGGGTTGTCTTTCTTTAATTTTTCTTTTTATTTCCTTTTGCATACCTATTATTATTAACCCAGATCTCTTATACCTGAAGTTTATATCTGAGAATGGATTCAAAATTCTATTGTTAACTTCATTATATTCCTCCTTAAAATGGCTTCTGATCTCAACACCCTCATTTTTCTCAATAGCAATATAATAGTATAGCAGTAGCAGATAAGTGAATGAGCTGGGGAGTTAATTGTATCTGAGTTACAAGCATGGCTTTCCCATTTAGCTAGTTGTGTTCTTAGAGAAGCCAATCTCTCTCAGGTTCAGTTCCTTCGTCTATATAATGACACTAATAGTTTTGTTGCACTGATATTAATTAGAATACTGTGGGCTGGGGTTGGACTCAGTGGTAGATCGCTTGCCTGGCATGTATGAGGCACTGGGTTCAATTCTCATTGCTGCATATAAATAAATAAAACAAAGGTCCATACACAACTAAAAAAAATCTTTAAAAATATTAATTAGAATACCATGATGATGAAATAGTAAAGAGCCTTGTACATAGTAGGTCAGAAAAATCTCCTTCTTTTCTTTACCTTCATTACCATTGCACACCTGAAGTGGGGCATACCTGCTCTTAGGAGAACTAATTTACACAGGATCAAGACACCAGACATCTTACCCTAAAGGTCTTCATATATCCCCATTGCTGTGTCCTGGAAAGGTGCTGTACTTCTGATGTTAATAATGACTGTTTGTTTTTTTTTTAAATTATGCAGGTGTTTATTACTTGAATATGGGTGGAGGGATGAAATATAATATGAGAGGAAGAGCTTTTCCCAAAACTTCAGACTATTTTTTGAACTTCATTTCATTCTACTCGGCAGCCGACATGACTTCCTCATGGTTATCTGAAATCTCCACAAGAAATTTCTATTTTCTATATTTTCTATGCCCTCTTGGCCCCATCTCCCCAGCACCTGGCAGAATGTGGCACACCTATGCATCACCCCATAAATATTTGATAAGTTAATTGAGTAAACTAATAAATGCCTTGCTTGCTCCTGTGTTCTCATTTGAACTTTTGCTCTGCCTTCATTCTCCATTACTCTTTCTCTTTCTCTTTGAGCTATGCTAATAATTTAAGGGCCAGTCCAATTACTACCCAGGGCTTGCACTTTGGATAAGATATTCTTACCACTCCATAACACCTGTTCTCTCCCTGCTTCAAAGTTCTGCCAATTTACAATTACTTTCTCACTTATCTAAGACTTATTTTATGCTATATTTTTGCATAACCTTTTCACTTGTGTTAAGAAGTAATTGAAAATTCCAGCCAGCCACAGTGGTGCAGGGCTGTAATCCCAGTGGCTCAGGAGGCTGAGGCAGGAGGATCATGAGTTCAAAGTCAGCCTCAGCAAAGCTAGGTGCTAAACAACTCAGTGAGACCCTGTCTCTGACTGAAGTACATAATAGGACTGCGGGTTTGGCTCAGTGGTCAAGAGCCTGGGAGTTCAATCTCAGTACCTCTCCCCCACCCCCCAAAAAAGAAAAGAAAATTCCATGAGGGTAGGAAATACTTTATGTACTTCTATGACTAGTAGTACCACTATGTTCTCATATAGTAGGCACTTGTTAAATGCCTCTTGCATTGGCCTTCTCTTCCTCTATGTAACATGCATTGCAAAAGAACCTTGGTTGCAGTTGTATCTTTTTACTAATTCTATCATTTTGAATTGACAAAATTGTTCAACCAAATTTCTTTTTTTCAATGATATTACTGATTGATGTACTGAATTGATTATTAAAAAAATCAAGTACAATTCTTATTTGCCATTTGCAACCATGAAGTGGTATATCATGGGGACCACTAAAATGTCATTGGTATACTAATAGCACTCTCAGGTCACATTTTATAGCATTTTTGCCTCAAGTTTTAGGATTCTTCATTGTTTCTTTCATAAAGTAATCACTCCAAGGTGCGTGTAGAGGCTGGATTGTTATAGCAAATGGCAAACTGTGTTAATGGGAGTCAGCAAGGAATTTAATTATTCTCCCAATTTCCAAAGGCAATGATGTATCACATTAATACTTTTCTTTTGCTTTTCCTGCACACTGGTAGCTGAAAGTGAAATGATGTCCCAGTCCCCAGTGTGTTTGCAAAGGTGTCATAAATTACACCTCTGCACTTATCAATGGAAAAGCTGTTCTCTCCTGATGCTACTTGTCTGTACACACAATGAACAGAATGGCAGAGGCTACAGAAGTAAAGCAGAAAATGTATTATTCTGGAATTATTCTAGGAGTCATTTTTAAATTTGCAGATTTTTCTTAAGTGATTTTTTTTTCTATCAGGACTGATGGTTCTTACCCAATCTTCTAAGAGAATTATATTTTTCCTATCATATACAATCAATTTTAGTAATATTCTCAAGCCCTCTGAGATTCTGAAAATAAAGCATCTGCAACTTTACAATTCAGATGCTCCTTCACTTAAGCCAAAGCCCTGTTCCAATAAACCCAATCATGAGTTGTGAGTTGAAAATGCATTTAGTACACCTAGCTGCCCAGCAACCTAGCCTAAGCAACACAGAACACTGTGAGTATTGCTTGCCCTTGGGATCACATGGCTGGCTGGAAGCTGTGGCTCTGCATGCAGTTGCCCTGCATCTCAAGAATGCATCCTGTCTATGTTGAGATCAAAATTCAAACAAATGCATTTTTTTTGCCCTGTTGTAAAGCTGAAAATCTGTAAGTCAAATGATTGCAAATGGGTGACATCTCTAACGTGAGTGGGCAAATGAAATTCAATCTTGAAAGGATACAAAATCCCTGGTGTGGCTCCTAATGGAGTGTAACTGTGGCCAGTGCTTCCATGTCACCCATTGAGCAGTGAAGGTGAGGTAGTATCACCTGAACTGATGGTCCTCATTGTGTGATCCATTCCAGCCTCGTTCTCAGGACATCATGCTATGTGACCTTGGACAAAACAAGATCTGAGCGTAGACCATGCAAGTGTCAAATACAATCCTCTTATCAGAGATATTCTGAGAAACACCAGGTGAAATTGCTACAGTAGTACAAATTTGCAGAAATGAAATCTTTCCCTAAAATAAAAATATTATACAATCAAAAATAATGAGTATAAAAAGACTTTTTTAAAAAAGGACATTTTTGTATAGGACAGAGAAAAAGGATAAAGAAGAAGGGAGGAAGAGAAGGAAAAGGGAGGGAAAGGAGGAAAGAAGAAGGAAAGAGAAAACTGTTTCAGAGATATTTAAATTAGTTCTGGATATTGGGACTGTGTATCAGCTTATTTTATTTTGATTTTCTGCTTATTTTATAACCATATAGATTTATAAGCAAAAACATAATTTTACAAAAAAAT